ATAAATGGCCTTTTTACAGTGGAATATACGCGGCCACGGGGGTAATCGGGGTGAGCTTCAAAATGTTACTCTCCCAGTTTGCCCCTTTGGTGTTTGCTTACAAGAACCAAAATTACACTCTGCTGTTATTTCTCACATCTCAGGCTATAATTTATTGTATTCTTCAGATCCTTTTCCTGATGGGACCTTTAATGAAAGTCCCCTTCTTCTCCGCACTGATTTTCCTACCATCAGCTATTTGTTCATACTTCGCTGCATTACACAGCAGCCCGTATCCACTTACATAGGTGGTATACGTTTCTGTTCTTTATATCTCTCTCCTTCTCGGGCATTATCTATTCCGGATTTTGCCTTCCTTGTTCGTCATTACCGCCACCGATTCTGTTACTTGGTGATTTTAATGCCCACCATTTCCTCTGGGGAGGGTCTCACTGTGATTCCCGGGGAATTCAGTTAGAGGCTTTTCTTGCCACCCACCCCTCCATGTTTTAATACAGGTACTCACAACCCATTTTGATCCTCGGACTCTTTACTCTCTCTTGCATCGATCTCTCATTTGCTCTCCTCCACCGCATTAGACTTTACTTGGTCTGTTCCCCCGGACTTACATGACTTTTGATCACTTCCCAATCATTCTTACTTCCCCTTCATATTCGCCACCTCTCGCACCCCCGCTGGAAATTTTTAATCGGGCAAATTGGAACCTTTACTCACACCTGACTGTTTTAAAGAGGTTCCTTCTTCGTCCTCCATCGATGAGCTTTTACACCTCTTCTCATTCCGTTTTCACCGCAGCTTCTCATTCTATTTCCCCCAAAATTCGGGCAGGCATTCTCAGAAATGCGTGCCTTGGTGGTCTCCTGCTTGTGCTCGTGCAGTACGTTTGAAACGCGCTGCATGGGGCAGGTACCGGTACAATAGAAACCACAGAGCGGGCTCCTTGATTTTAAACAGAAGCGTGCGATCGCCCCGCCGTGTCATCCGTGACGCTAAAACGCACTTGCTGGCGAGATTATTTTCTCCACCATCACCTCTGCTTTCCCCTATGAGTGCAGTCTGGAAAAAAGTACGAAAACTGAGTGGTAAATATTCTCCTGACCCGGCTCCTGTTCTGCGGGTTCCGGTGTTGATATAGCAAACCCACTAGATGTTGCCAATGAAATTGGCAATCATCTGGTCCCCTTTTTTCTCAGGGACTCCCTCTATGCCCCTCATTTCTTTCCTCAAAGTCTGCCAGAGAGTTAGCAAACCCCTTTGGGCTTTTCTTTCTCTCAAAAGAACAGTATAATGTGCCTTTTACCTTCAAGAACTGGAGGCAACACTCTCAGCTTGTCGATCATCGGCGCTGGCCCGACGACATTCATATTCGTATGCTACAACATTTACATCAGTCAGCCCTTGCAGTCCCCATTACGCCTTTACAATCTTATTTGGTCACAAGGAGTTCTTCCACAGCTGTGGAAAAACCGCCATTGTTCTCCCTTTCCGCAAACCAGGCACTACGGGACATGAAACCTCCCACTATCGTCCCATTGCTCTTACCAGTGCAGTTTGCAAGTAAAAGGAACGTCTAGTAAATAGACGTTTTGTGTGGTATTTAGAGACACACAACAGTCTCTCCCCTCGTCAATATGGCTTTTTGTAAGGGACGTTCTACCCATAGACCCCTTACTGCGCTTGGATACGTATGTTCGTAATGCCTTTGCGAATAACCACTCAGTTATTGCCATATTTTTTGACCTTGAGAAAGGGATATGACACAACTTGGAGGTATAATATTTTAGCCCAAGCCCCCTCCTTAGGCCTTCGAGGCAATCTACCTCCTTCCCTTTAAAAACTTTTTAACTGACAGGCATTTCCGTGTTCGGGTTAATAATGTGCTTCCCCGGACTTTATCCAAGCTGAAGGTGTCCCCCAGGGATGTGTTCTGAGCACAACACTTTTTCTCCTTGCTTAATGATTTGGCCTCTAGTCTTCCATCAAATATTTGGTCATCACTCTATGTTGATGACTTCGCTATTGCCTGTGCAGGCGCTGACTGTCCACCTCCTTACAGTTTCTCTCCAGCATGCAGTCGACCGTGTTTCCAATTGGGCCACCACACATGGGTTTAAATTTCCAGCACTAAAACCCACCCAAAACACTTTCACTAGACGCTCTTTTCTTTTCCCATCATCCTTTGTACCTCTATGGCTCACGTATCCTGAACGTGATACAGTCAAGTTTCTGGGCCTCCTCTTTGATCGTAGGTTATCCTGGAAACCTCACATTACCCCTCTGAAGGCAACTTGTCCACAGCCGGCTGAACCTTCTTAAAACCCTTGCTCATCTTTTCGTGGGAGCTGATCGTCGAACCCCCCTTCACCTACATTCCACCCTTATTTTATCGAAACTTGATTATGGTGACCAGATCTATTCAGCGGCATCTCCTGCTACTCTCTCTGCCCTTTAAACCCCCTTCATCACCAAGGGTTACGTTTATTTCCTTGGTGCTTTCCGCCCCTTCCCCTGTCCCAAAGCCTCTATGCAAAAAGCGAACGTACCTCCTTTATCCGATCGCCGTGATGCCCCTTGCCTGCGCTACTATGTACGCTCTCATGACTCCGCAATCCTTCCATTTATAGAATGGTCACTGATATTAGTAGACATTCTTTATTTGTTCCCGCCCTGCTTACTCCGTCCCTTCCCCTCTTCGCCTTCATTCGCTCTTGTCTTCTCTGCAACTACCACCCCTTTTTATGTACATGTAGCATTTTCACTTTTCCCTACCCCCCTGGGAATTCCAGCTGTTCGAGTCTGTTCTTTCCCCCCTCCCTTGCTCGAAAGCCCAACTGTCTACGGTCGCTTTTCCCCCTCTCTTTTTTTTGACCACTTTCACTTTCATTTTTCATTTCCATTGCTGTGTACAAGATGGCTCTAAGTCTTCTGACGGCGTAGGATTCGCAGCAGTGTTTCCGGCACAGCGTCGACAAGGGCATTTACTATCTTCACTTTGTATTTTTACTGCTGAATTATATGCCATCCTTACAGCACTTATCCGTATTGCATCTATGCCTGTGTCATCATTTGTGGTTTTCTCAGACTCCCTTAGTGCTTTACAGGCTATAAAAAAATTTGATACCCTCACCCCTTAGTCCCCCGTATCCAACTTTGCTACGCCCATCTTTACTAAGCAAAAGATATCGTTTTTTGTTGGGGCCCTGGTCAAAGTTTTACGTACAGGGCAATGAACAGGCAGACACTTGCGCGCGGTCAGCAGTACTGACCTACCAGTTTTTTTATAGAGGTATTCCATGTACGGCTATTTTGCTGTAATATCTTCCCACCTTCACACCCGTTGGCAACAACGTTGGGCTACTATGCTCCCGGCAACAAATTCAGTCTATTAAAACCGAGTATAGGTTTTTTGGCCGTCTTCTTATCACCAGTGTCGAGGTTGGGAGACTACCTCTCCCGTCTTCGCATGGGCCCTACTCGTCTTTAAATCATGGATATCTCATGGAGAGGCGTCTTGCTCCTCTCTGTGAGAAATTGCCAAGCTCCCTTATCAGTCCGCCACATTCTGTTGGACTGCCCACTTTATCAACGAGCACGCAGAATTTACCTCTTTCGTCGTCTTCGCCCCGCTCTCTCTTTACCTTCCCTTCTCGCTGATGGACCCCCCTTTCATCCGGGCTCTCTCATTGACCTTTTTGACAACGACTGACTTACTTCACAAATTCTGATACTTTCAGCCCTTTCTACTTGAATCTCTTGCTGCCCTCTACCCCGTACTATCCCCTGCCCCGCTGTTTTCTGTAACCTGCTGATCATCCCCCCTCCCTTCTGCCATCCAATTCCCTTGCTTCCTTCCCTACCCTGCAGCGCTGTATAGCCCTTGTGGCTTAGCGCTTCTTTTTGATTATAATAATAATAATAATTTCTATTTTCATTTTTTATTCATACAAAAAAAAGTTCAAAATTTACTGTTATGCAAACTAATGCATTATTGTATAAATAATATCAGTGCACTAGTGAAAGAATATTAGACTCCCCAGTTGAAGTGTATTGGACATGTGGTGTGGTTTACTTACTCCTGAGCATTGGTAAAAATCGAACATTTTCGCTACTTTGAGCTCATTTTCAAGGTAGTTTTCATCGTGAAAGTAATCAAAATCATCCATATTTCTATAATATGTTTTCCATTTTATCACCTGAGACCATGAAAACAGGAATACAACGATAAGTACTATACGAAAATACACTTCAAAGTCGACTTTTTAATCCAAAAAAACGGTCAGAATTTTTTTTTCTCATTACGCACTGCGTGCTGCAGGATTTTTGTGGTGTGCACTGACCACACAGACCCATTCTCTCACATGTGGGCCTACCAGCTTTCTCCCGCTTGATTTGAAGCCGCTAGAATTTACGCATATAAATGTCAGAAACAGTGACACGTAAGATGTATATATACGACCGAAACAGTCAAAAGGTTAAAAACCAGGGGCATGATGCTTCATCCAGAGAAAACAGGTGAATGGTATGCTGCCTGATTGATCCTTGTTCTATTTGGATGAATTCATTTACAGAAAGAGCCATTACTTGTGTAGATTCTAGATTGTTAAACAGGTTTGCCAGTATCTGCCAGGAATCTGTTCATGCTTTCAAGTTTCAGTTGAAAATGCTTCCGTTTTACAAAGCTTATGATCATAGTCACTTGAATGTAAACTAATAATTTTTTCATCATTGCATTTATGGCTTATTGTGTGTTAGTGCGAGTTTCTTGACGAGAAGCCTAAATACAGTAATAAGGATCTAAACCAGTTGTCTGGCTTCATTTAATATACATTATCACAAGGAATAAACATTATTTTGAGGTTTCCCATAAATAACTTATATTTACTTGAAGATGTAGCAATACTAATGCAATATTGGAGAGTGAGGGTTGAAGGTATTTAGTGATCCCCATTCCTTACTACTACTACTACACATTGTGAAAAGAATAATTTCTGTTTTCTTAGAGACCTTTGCTCAGTGTTTGGGGCTGACATGCTGCAGTTGGTTGAAACAGATCCCATTACTAGCCTCCTCACACAAGGCCGCCGTTCCAAGACTTCAAAGACAAAGACATTGGCCATGTGGGCAACAAAAGAAATTCGCCGCCTGAAAAGTAACAGTAGTTGGTAAGTACACAGATCCAGGTAAAGTATCAATTACAAACAGTTAATCTTATGGGTCTGTGATTAACATTTGTTTTTAAATCTTGTCCAATTTATTTGGGGCAAATAGGGTTAGCTTTTTTTTTTTTTTTTTTTTTTTTTTTTTTTTTTTTTTTTTTTTTTTTATCTTTTTGAATTATTTGTGTAGTAAGCTGCTTAAAGCACTATGCAGTACTTGATACATGGGTCTATTAGACATTGGTTAATATAAATTAGCAGTCGAACTGCTTGCAGGTAGGGCATCAGTTCCTATTAAATGCCATAAATTTGTAGTCCCCATTAATGTTTTTGACAATGTTAGCCATTTCCTACCAAAGCTGGTGACAATTTCAGGAACTCATCATTCACTCTGTGTGCTTTGCGATAGTTTTGTTGATGTTGCATTACTTTTATCATCTTGGCTGTTTTGGGCATTTAAACTGGTCAAATATGTACTGCAATAGAAATGAGCATAGATAACAGGGCACTACCAAGGTTGGCTGTGCTAGGCCACATGGTGAAAGATTTAAATGGCATTTCAAAATGATAGGTAAAAAAAAAAAAATAGAAAATGGGTATCAATATTGAACACTAAACTGCCGAGGGGGTCTGAAATTAAGTGCTGCTTCTGTCTGTTTAAAAAAAAAAAAAAAATCAAAATGAAGGGCTTAATTTTCTGAAGATAATAAATCCAAAAATAATATCACTTCAGTACTTATGGGATTGAGGTGAATTGAAGATCATTGATCCCATACATTATTTGATTTTCACTTCTTGGTTTTTTTGTTTGCCATTTGTGGGCTAGAAGGTTGTGCTTATGGATACTAGTTGTTTGGTTACACTTACACAAGTCAGATTTGTCGAAATAAATTGTCACTAGTAGATCTGTTTATTCACACTTGTGTACACTTGCATTATCAGTTTTCTACAGTTCTAACATGTGTATACATGACAGGCACTGGTATTATTAGAGCCATAGAAGTGTGTTTTAACTACAGCATCATAGTGGTGTTTTATACTCGCATGCGAGTAGGTAGTCCTGTGTTGAGAGAATAGTTAACATCTAAGCTCAATTTTTCTTGTCAGTAGCAGGAAGTATTGTTAGAAAGTGATTACAGTGTCTCAAATGACGGCATTGGGTCATTAGTATGGCGATGGTGGTGTGCTGGAGTTGACCTGTTTCCGTATTTATTTGAGAGAAGTAAAAATGCATGGTTTCATTGGTATGAAACGATTGCACATCACCAATCCCTGCGTTGACATGCACTGTATTACACACGTGTCGTATGCATAATTGTGGCAAAGATATGCTCCTTGGTCATAGTAGTCTGCCTACTGGCAGTCACAATCATGCCAAAATTAGCATGTGCTATATTACGTGGTACTGACTGTTGGTTTCTGTTACTATCATTTTCATAAGCACTTTATCTAAATGCATTTCAAAGAAACCCAGGTCGTAAGTCATTAGTGGTGATAAAATGCAACAAAATTCCAGTCGTGAAATTGATGGGGATTTGGCACAAATGTTGCATTTTATTGCCAATTCCTGATGCTTGTTCCTTATACTTAGGCCTCCTAAACTTCTTTTACCAAATTTGAAGGCACGTTATTTATGCATAGATGTACGACATTGACATTGATCTTGCTGGCATAAGTCTGTGTAACAGTTAATTTGTATTGCTTTAAACAACAGGTAAGATTATGAAGTTTTGATAACTGGCCATGGTAAGATCTTTATGGCTTAAAAGATACAGGGTGGGCCAAAAGTAGGCTTACAGTTGTTTCACTATTTGTTCACAATTTCAGTTTAATTTTTCCAGACCAGTATTCCAATACTAAAGCAGTATTGGAAGTGTGAAAATGCTGAGCAGGTACAGGAGTTTAGTGCATACCTACTGAGTGTAAGCCTACTTTTGGCACACCCTGTATAATAGCCAGGAATCCTGTCCAGATAAATTATGCAAATGCTGCTACTATGTGGCTCACTGTACCTAAGCCTAGCTCCACAGGCATCGTTACAGAAGAACCCCAAATAATGTGAGGGCTATGTTCCTGAAAATGGGCATGTTGTCAAATTTACAGGTAACTGAAGTGAAGAACATGGAAAAATAATTAATTCTTGGCACCTCAATTTTCGTTTTCCTAAATAGCCAGAATAGTCAAACAAAACTATTTTATCTTCCATTAAATTTTGGTTGCTGTTACTTCTTTATGTGCACGTGTTTGTGGAGAAGGTTGATGTGGCCTATTACAGTATTTGTATAAACATTGCAGCTGGCAGTGTAAGCACCACCATCATGTCATAATTGAGAAAAATGAATGTCCTTACCAAAACGCACTAAACGTGTAGGAAATTGCTTCACATATTCCAAACACGTATACTAAAGGTGAATGCATTTGGGAAAGTAATAAATTAACCCTTTCAGGGTCCAGAGGCCAAATCTGTGTGACAGCCAGGGTCCAAGAATTAAAAAAAAATGGTAGAGACTTTCTCTGAAGGTAATAAAACAAAAAGTATGAAATTTGATGGAAAATTGACGAAATTACTCTTGCAAATTTTGCATCAGTTATTTTTTTCCAACTGACTACCATTTTAAGCCAATAGCATTATTCCTGACAACCAAATTCTTAGCTATTTCGCTAGAATTACTTTTTTATCGATTGAGCACAAGAAATTGCCCAGTCAGCTGTTTCAACTACCCAATAATGTGATCAGAAATTGGTAATTTGGCGAATTTTAACAGTTCAAAATAATCCAGTTTCAACATTGGGTCCAGAATAAACAATGCAGGCATTCCTGACACTAAATTAACATTTCCTCTGTTTATTGGTTACATTTTGAGGCTTTACAAATTAATTCCATTTTGATTTTTTATTCACGATAAATTATTTGCCAAAAAATGGATTTACTGTTATGCAATATTGTAATAATTGTATAAATAATATCAGCACATTTGTGAACATATATTAGACCCACCAGCTGATGTGTATTAGATGCATGACTTCATTTGTTTACCCTGGAACATCAAAAATTGAACATTTTTGCTACTTTGAGCTGTTTCAAGCCATTTTCAGTGCTTAAGCCAATCAAAATCATCTCTATTTCTGTAATATATCTTCCATTCTGTCAAATGAGACCAAGAAATCACGAATACAACTAAAAAAAACCATAGTGAAAAAGCACCGCAATGTCGCTGTTTTAATCTAAATATTCGGTCTGGGTTTTTTTTCTTATGCATTGCGTGCTACAGTATTTGTTTTATGGGGTGCACTTACCACATATATGTATTTTCTCGTATCTAGGCCCAAATTTATCACTTGCATCTTATCTGAATGAGCTGAGCTCCAGCTGTAGCTCTACAGCTTGGACCCAGGCTTCAAAGCCATACAACTACAGGACGGACCCTCAACGGGTTAAGAAAAATGTAGTGGTAATGTAATAAAATACCTCCAACCTCTCGTAAGTTTGCTTTATTGCTTATCATAGCACATTTAAGCCCTTGTGGTTTAGTGCTTCTTTTTTATTATAATAGCACATTTAACAGGTTCATGACCTGAAGTAGTCCGAAACACAGGTACGGGATTCCTCAAAAGTGAAGTGGAAGATGTCAGGGAGCTGTGGAGAGGTGCATACTGTGGATTAATACAGCTCAATACTGTGTCAGCTGTGGTGGATCTATAAACACCAACTCAGATGAATTTGTCATGGTTGTGCCACTTGACATTCCTACAAACAAACATTTTCTAATGATTTTATACTGTCACCAACATGTTTAACAGTTGTAGAAATACTGTTAGATGGGTACATGCCTTGGTGTGGAAATGTGTAATTAGAGGTTTGTACCCCAAAATCAAAGAAGCCTTCAATATGCATCAACATATTGGAAACCTTGATTTTCTTTAAAAATCATTAGAATTTCATGCCTAATTTTCCTTTTTTGGCACATCCAGCATCAATAGTATTCCTTTTGGGCATTATGGTTAATATGTAATAGATTTGATGGAAATGTCCAAAGTAGTTTTGTAAATGCAGGCACTATACAAATGACACAAAGCAACTGTAGGCAATGTTGACTAAGGGCGATACTAGCCTTCCCCCTAAATAACAATCTACTCGGTTGTAGGCCTGTCCTGGCATGGAAGGAATACTTCCTGGCGCAATCATCCGAATTATTACATTGTTTGATTCCATGCATTTTTCACATTTATACTCGGCTTTTTCCATGCAGTTTGATTTATGCTTACAGGCATTCAATCTCATGGTGAACTTGTGCTTCCCAGTTAATAAACTGGGATTCTCCTGTCTCTTCACAAACACTCCAGCTCCCCCAATTTCCCTTCTATTTCCTTCTACCAGCCAGAACAAGGCTTTGAGGCAAGGTAAGTTGGATAACCTGATCCAGTCATGGTGTCATAAAGAGAATGTGTTATGACAAAATCAGACTGATTCCACATTAATCAAGGATTTATTATACATGATCTGTTATCCATTTCTCAATCGTCAGTTACTATCAGCAACAAGGTTTAATTTTTAGCTAATATTGTAAATTGGGCTGTGAGAAGTTCACTTAAGACAGTGTCAATTATATAGAAAAAATGCTCCAAAACTATTGGTGCATTTTTTAATACAATTTTAGTACCTTACTCTGATAACCAGGAGATATTTAAGGTATGCTGAAGATGGAATATTTAATCACACACTGCCACATGATAATGAGGGTTGTGATGGAAAGAAACTTGAGCATTAGGCTTGCTGTAATAACTTATTTATTCTTGTCTTACTGAAATGAGATTCTGTACCTCCATTCTTGTCATTTGGGAGTCTCCTACAAAGGTAAGGTGACCAAGAAAGATGCATTAATCATTCATTTAGTATCTGTCTTGCCTGAAGTGTACGGACATCACATTTCAGATGAGCCCTTGCATATTGAAAACTACTAATCCACAATTTACTGAAGTGACATGTGAGAGTGAGCACAGAATGAACCAAATAAATTAGAGAATTCTTGAGGGAAAATAGGAAGGTCCATAGCTCTCTGAGCTCTTACTAGCATAAATACCACTGGAACTAGGGTGAAGAGGGAGGTACCCTATTTTACAGATGCCTGCCTACTTAGATTGTAAAGGCTGTGCGTGCCTTTATGCAAGCAGCAATTGTCTGGCTTATCAGGGAGTCACCAAGGAAGCCTGACCTTGGGCTGGGCTGGGCTTGGAAATAGAAAAACAAAAAAAAAAAAGTCACAGGTATGCATTATAACCATGGGTTCCCCACCACAGAAATTTATAAATACTTCAGTTTTGCAATTGTTCAAGTGACAAGATAGTTTCTTCTGCATATATATATATAATACTGTATATATTTTTTTTTCTTCTAGCGAAATATCATCACTGCTGGATGAGGCGCCTCTGATAGTAGTCCAGTAGTCCGTAAGACAAGTAAGCCTTGGCGATTTGAAGATGGGGGACCTATGGGAATTGAACCCAATACCTGTTGTGCATAGTACAGTGGACAGTTTTTCTTGTGAAGCAAGATACAAATACCTCAAGACTTCATACCCTTAACTGTTTATTGTATCCCGATTAACCTTTTGTCATACCAATGCACTATGTATCTCTTTCACGCCTTCATTTACTATACCCATCGGAACTGATCCTTCATGTTTTGCTTAAAACTAATGACCTTAAATTCTCTCTGCAGTTACCTGCCACTTATTGGCCACCACATAACTTGCCTTGTATTGACTCTTGACATACTTCATTAGATTAGAGGCCAAATACATTTTCTTCTTTTGAGGTCTACACCTTTGTTGATTTCCACATTTTTCTCACCTCTTTTAATTTCTAACTTTATCTGCTTACAACATTGTGTGCATTTACCTCTCACCTCAAATAGTAGTTTCATTGGCCAGGTGCCATATTCGTTGTATATATCCAGTGACTAAAATTTCCTGTACTGTGTATCAACTGATTCTTCACTCCTGCACTTGGTAACGGTTCACATTACAGCATCCAGTGTCCATTCTGGTACTTGAAACCCTAGCATGGTAGTGATTCTTCCTGGATCTTGAGGCTTCTCATTACTAATTAACATAGTTTATTATTATTATTATTGGGCATGTCCCACCAAGGTAGGGTGACCCTAAAAAAAACTTTCACCACTCCATTGTCTTGCCAGAGGTGCACCGGTACCACTGTTCAGATGCCCCTCCAAACTGCAATATCTCCACCCTTCCTTCAAAATGCAGGATCACTTCATAAATGGTACCTTGCTCAGACTTATACAGTACGTAAAAACCACTTGCCTCCACTCATTTAATGTGCTCGCGCACTCATCGGATGTCTAAGCTCCTCACCTCTTAACCTTCTTCCTCCAACCTTTCCTGGGATGGCCTCTACCCCATCTTTCCTCTGCTACAGATTTATACTCTCCATGTCATATTATTTTTATCCATCCTCTCTAAATGTCCAAACCACCACCACAAAACCTCCTTAGCCCTATGTATAATACTTTTACCTAGTAATGCTGCACCTCCTGATATCCAATCTATGAATTCTCTGCATGATATTCACACCTGCTATGCTTCTCTCTAGTCCCTCTCTGCTGTCTCCAGCCTCCTCACTGCTGCTTTCACAACCCATGCTTTTCACCTATGAGTGTTGGCACACTGTACTGTCATACATTCCTCTTCTTACCTCCATGGATAACATTGTCTCCAAAGATTCCTTGGTGTACCACCCACCTTTTTCCCCCTCGTCAATTCTGTGGTTTACCTCATTTTTCGTAGCTCCAACCGCCAACATGTCCACTGACAAATATTTGAATACATTCACTTCCTTTGTACTCCCTCCTTGCAATATGATATCCACTCTTTCATTATCTAAATTTTTTGTTACCCTCGTAGGTATTGTCACTGATTTTCTTCACTTGCCTAGTGTCTTCACTGTTTCATGTCTTGGCCAGCTTTTGTTATAAACTGCTGATGTGTTTTCTGGTGACTTTCCTTCATATCCTCTTAGTATACACTTTTTCTATCACGTGTGTTAAGGAAAGTGAAATGGTTCAAACCTTGATTAGACTTGTCAGGCTGGGCATGTTAAGGTCAAGAATGAAAATGGATTAGTGTACAAATAGTATATAAATGACGTGCCAACAATTGTGCTGTAAGCAGTTTTGGCTTATGTTCTAGGTGGTGTTTTCTCACGTCTTTCAAAACAGACGAGTTATATAAAATACATATTTTTAATTGCCTACATTCATTTAGGAAAGCATATGATCTACAGAGTCTTCACTTATTTATCTGTATTCTCTAGGTAAAGTTCATAATCTGTTCATTAATATTTGCTCAAATGTTTTCTGTATTCTTTACACATCTGCCCATTTTAACATTTTTATACAGTGGAACCTCAAATTTCGAACTTAATCCATTCCAGGAGCTAGTTCTAAATTCGAAAAGTCTGAAATTCGAAGCAGTATTTCCCATAAGAAATAATGGAAATACAATTAATCTGTTCCAGAAACCCAAAAATATTCACACAAAAAATACATTTTATAGAGATTAATTACAGTTTTACATACAACAAATACTATAGTTTTTAATTATGTATAGTAATACATATAAAATAACATTTTTACTTACCTTTATTGAAGATTGGTGATGGCATCTGGAAGATAGGGAGGAGGAGAGAGGGAGTTGGGGTTAGTGTTTGGAAGGAGAATCCCCCTCCATGAGGACTTCAGGTAAAGCCCTCTCTGGGGGTTACTTCCCTTTTGTCTTTTAATGCCACTAGGACCAGCTTGAGTCACTGGGCCCCTGTCTCTCAAAATAACTATCCACAGTCATACTTCTGTATTATTTCTTACTTTACATCTATGTTTCTCACTTTCTTTACCACAGGGGTACCACTAGCAAGTTTCTTTGGGCCCCTGGCAGCTTATTTCAGTCCCACAAGCACTAAACACAATGAAATAACCGTAAAATGTGTGAATGACAGCGCAGGTTATTCACTCGAGCATAAACAAAGCTAGACTGTTCACGGCGTCTGCGCAGGGACGTGGACAGCGGGCTGGCAGACAGGTCCCGTACCCGGCGGTCCGAAAATAGGGGTGCGTTCGATAATAGGGACACAGTTTGTCCGAAAAAAGGGTCCTATTTTCGAAACGTTCAATATGTGATACATTCGATTTTTGAGGTTCCACTGTATTAAACTTCTAATCAGGCATGGCATAACAGTATGTTTAAAAAGTCTCTTGCATCTTAACCATTTTTTTATTCCTCCTTATTACGAGATTTGTAGTGGGCTTACTTTGTTCCTTAAACTCTATGGAAAGGCAATTGCTTTTGAAAGGGATTTATGATCCCTTTTCAAGTATAATCCGGGTAATGATGCCAAAAATTTAGGGGAAAAACACAACATGTTTAAACCCCTTAAACTGTGGATCGCATTTTACCGCTAGAGCCTGAACGTAGATCTACTTTTTATTTTTGAAAGCTGAAAATAAAACACAAATTTACGTTTGGAGTGCTGCGTCAAGCAAAAATCTACTTTTTTGGAAGTTAAAGGGGTTAAAAGTTACACAAAATTTTATTTGGCAACTTTTGTCCTAACCATGCCACTCCTTTTTTACTTGGGTAAAAAAAATTTAAAAATTGAGTCCCCCAGGAAAAAGTGAAGTCGGGTCTGTCAAGTAATGTCAGGAAAAAGCGGGGCAGCAGATGGTCCAGACGCCACTGTTTTTGGGGGCAGGGGGGTTGGAATTGTAGGGGCCGGGGGTGGGGGAAGGGGAAATTTTTCCTGCTTTGTCCTATTTATTTGTATCTATCAAAGATGTTTCAGACTCCCTTCCTAAGCAAAGTCCCTTTGCCCCAAACTCATTAGATGATCCCCTTTGGGTTTTTGTCAAAAAAGTTTTTGCTTTGGGCCTCCCGCACTGGTGTTTATTTTTTGGGTCTGAAGGCTCCTGTATTTTCTCCCATGTATTTACTGAACTTGTGAAATACATTTTTACAGCTGTGAAAGGGGATAACTCATCGTAATGATTAAGGGGTCGAATCATAAAACCTGTTTTGGGCTGGGGTGGACAAAACCAGAGCCTATGTACCTTAATTTAAACATTACTTGTAACTGCCTCCAGCACTTCGAGGGCTTTTCACTCCCTGCCCACCCTGAGAATGAGAAAGTTCTTCCCGACATCCTGTGGAGATAAAAAAGGGGGAAGTATGAAAGTATGTGGTACCAACTCTTATAGGGGTGTGAACTTGGTCGTAAATGCTGCGAAAAGGCGGCGGTTTGGGAGGCAGGGAGTGTCCGGCTTAACCTTTTGGGGTCGGCAAGTCCTCTCAGCTTTTTCTCAGGGGCGCAAAATTTTAAAAAAAAAAAAAAAAAAAAAAAATTCTTTGAAAAAATAGAGAATCCTTTTTTCCCCAACAAATGACACCAAAGTTGAAATTTGATGGGAAAAATTACGAAAATATGCTCTCACGAATTAGCGGTTCGACATTTTATGGCATCGGGGATTTTGCCCCCTTTAGACCCATTTCGGGCAATTCCAGTGTAATAGTCGGCAAAAAAACACAACATTTCACTAAAAACTCTATTTTTTCTATGAATGAGTACAAGAAACCACCCATTTATTGATTTCAACTATCCAGTAATGGGCCCCCCCCATACCGCAGCTCGCATACCGTACAATCCCTCCGCTCGCTTTTTCGCAAAAATTTTGCCTGCATACCCCCCAAAAAACCCGCTCACCGCCCTTGTCCGAGAGCGTCCAATGGCGGGCCCGAGCCACGCTCACTTTTCCGCCGGTGGGATTTTTTACCACCGCCTCCGCGGTAACATTTCCCAAACATACAATCGGAACATTTTGTATTATTAAAGTTTTTGGTGATTTTTTTTTGGAAAATAATGACCATGGGCCCCAAGAAAGTTTGTGCCAACCCCCAGCAATAAGGGTGGGAAAAACTTAAAAAGTGAAGAAAAAAAATCATTGATAAGTATGAAAATGGAGTGCGTGTTTCCACGGCCCCGGTTGTATAATAAAACCCATCAACCACGCTACATTGGTGGTACCGCGCTGCGTACCACCGTCGCTGCTGCTGTACCACCGTCACTGCGCTGCACGTCGCCTGCTGCTGCTGGGGAAGTCAGCTTCTGCTGCTGCACTGTCGCTGTGCTGTAGCCGTTGCTGCGTGTAGCACTCTGCTGCTGTGTACACGCCCGCTGCTGCTTACATCGTCTGCTGCCTGTAGCATCGTCTGTTGTGCTGTACCACCGTCAGCTGCTGGGTGCTGCTGACACCGTTTTTGGGTGGCTTATTACCCCGAGGATTTTCCCCCCAGGGTAAAACCCCAAAAAAATCAGGGGCATCGAAGACTGTTTAACTTCTTCCCCCTTGGGGTCCTTAATCTTGTCTTCCAGGATGCAACCCACCCGTC